ACACACACACACACACACACACACACAGAGAAAAAACCATCTGTGATTATTAAGCAAGGTTGAAAATATGCCAATCCAGCAATTCCACTCCAAGGTGTAGATACTCAGAAGGAAACACATGGCCAAGAATGTTGACATCTCTGACCATGACAGCTCCAAAGTGAAACTCACATGTTCACTGACCAAAGATGGGGAAATAAATGCCCGAGGCAGGGGAGTACTACCCAGCAACGAAAAAGGATTGCAGGCAATGGCCCAGCTGAGCCTTCCTGACATGATGCTGAGTGAGCAAAGTTGGGCACGTGGATGCAACATCCCATGATTTAGTTTTTATATGACAACCTAAAACAGGCCAGAGGTAGGGCTGCTGGCATGGGGGAGGGAGCCAGGAAGGTGGAGATGGTCCCCATAGGAAACTGACCAAGTGGCCGTTTCCCTGCCCTTTGCTTTCTAATTATTCTTTGAAATTTCCACTTTTCTTTCTCTCTCCCTCTCTTTTTATTTTTATTTTTTTCTTTTCTTGAGATGGAGTCTCTGTCGTCCAGGCTGGAGCGCAGTGGCGCGATCTCAGCTCACTGCAACCTCCACGTCCCGGATTCAAGCGATTCTCCTGCCTCAGCCTCCCGAGTAGCTGGGATTACAGGCACCCACCACCACGCCCAGCTATTTTGGACATACAGACCAAATTTTGGACATACAGACCAAAATGCAAAGAAACAGACAGCAGGCTGAGCACAATGGCTCATGCCTGTAATCCCAGCATTTGGGAGGCTGAGGCAGGAGGATCACTTGAGCCCAGGAGTTTGAGGCCAGCCTGGGCGAGATAGTGAGATCCCATTTCTACAAAAGGTTAAAAAGTTAGCCAAGTGTTGCAGCATACACCTGTAGTCCCAGTTACTTGGGAGGCTGAGGCAGGAGGATCACTTGAGCCTGGGAGGTTGAGGTTGCAGTGAGCCAAGGTATCACCACTGCCCTCCAGCCTGGGTGACAGCCTGTATTTAAAAAAAAAAAAAAAAAAAAGCCTGGGCGCAGTGGCTCACATCTGTAATCCCAGCACTTTGGGAGGTAGACAGATCACCGGAGGTCAGGAGTTTTTGACCAGCCTGGTCAACATGGTGAAACAACCTCTCTACTAAAAATTCAAAAATTAGCTGGGTGTGGTGGCAGGCACCTGTAATCCTAGCTACTTACGAAGCTGAGACACAAGAATTGCTTGAACCCGGGAGGCAGAGTTTGCAGTGAGCTGAGATTGTGCCATTGCACTCCAGCCTGGGTGACAGAGCAAGACTGTCTCAAAAAAAAAAAAAAAGAAAGAAAAGGAAAAGAAAAAGAAAAAGAAACAGACAGCCATAATATTTGCATCCTCAGAGATGCCAAAGGTCTAAGACAGAATGCCAATTTACAGACAAAGATAATGATAGAACATAAAAATTGCCCAGCCATTATGCCCCAGCCACCAGGTCTCTTCCCTCCTCTGCTGAGAACTCCCCATGGCTCCCACCTCACTTGGGGTCAAAAGTCAAAGTCCCCTGCACAGCCCACAAGATCCTGTACATTCTACTACTACTGTCCCCCTCCAGCTCTCTGTTCCTGCCTCACGGCCTTTGCACAAACCCTTCCCACTCTTCCCCCACAAACAGGTGTCGATCCCTCCCTCATCTCCTTGAGGTTTTTACTCAAAGGCACCTGCTCATCCAGGCCTTCCTGACCCACCTCCTGCATCTCAAGCAGCCCCCACCCTCCCATCCCCCTTCCCTGTCTTCTTGTCCCCACAGCACTTGTCACTGACAGGTAATCTACTTGATCAGGCTTCTGGTCTTTCTCTGCTACTATATCCCAAGAGGGGGATCTTTTCTCTCCAGGAGACCAGCGCCCAACCCACAGGGCAGCTCTTTCACCTGGGGGCAGACAGGACAGGTCCCCCGGGGAGAGGATACCTTAGTTTCTGAACGCACCCTTGTCGCAAAGACCCGCCCCCGCCAACTGGGGGCGAGGCTTTTCAGCCCCAAAGAGTCTGATATCCCCCTCCCAGGCTGTGACTCTCACAATCCCCAGTGGCCACGGAAATGAATCCCCCAGCGCCTGGGGCCTGTCCCCTCCCTCGTCTGCCCACCAGCTGGTTCTGTCCCCAGCCCCCACTCCCTCCATTCAATCACCCATCCATCCCCAGTGCGGTCCAGCCCGTGCTGGGAGAGCCTGAAGCAGAAGGTGGGGGAGCGCCCACAGCTGTCCCCTTTCCCCCCCGACAGCTGGGCACCGGACCCTGGAGGGGGAAGGGCACAGGAAACTCCTCAAGGGGTTTCAAACGCCACCAAGGAGCCCATCTCTGTCCCCAAATCTCTGAGCCTGGAGCCCCAAACCAGGCACTGAGGAGGGAACAGAAAGTCCGGCCCACCCCGATCTCCGAGGGCGCGGGGACAGTGAGGGGCCAAGAGAGGCGGACGGGGCGCGCAGGGAGTTCAGGGGGCGCCCGGCATCCGCAACCCCGCGCCACCTCCTCCGCGAAGCCCTCCGGACACACTCCCGCGCGTCACGGAGGCAGAACTGCAGCCGCCATCGCGCTCCCAGCCCCGACGCGACTCCTATCTGGGACCCCCGCCGGGACCCCCGCGGGCCTCCCCGCCTTCTCCCGCTCCCAGCCCCTGCCGGAGGAAGCTGGCGGGACGCGGGCCGAGGCGGAAAGGGGTTTAATTGGGGGCGCCCCGGCGGGGAGGGTCACACCGCCCCGGGGCGGGGCCGGGCCACGTGGGGGAGGTGGGAGGGGGCCCCGCGGCCACGCTACCTGTTGATCTTGTGCGCGAAGGCGCGGCGCTCGGCGGGCCGCATGTCCCCGAGTCCCGCCGCGGCCGCCGCCCCGCGTCCCGCGCCCGCCGCCGCCGCTGCGCCTGCCGGTTCTGGGCAGCCGGGGCGGGGCGGGGCCGGCGCGGGGGCGGGGCCCTTCCGGGTGGCCCGGACCGCTCCGTGCTGCCCCTGCCGGCCGGAGGGGTCGCCTGGAGTCCTGGGGGCTGGGGAAACTGAGGCTGGGGACGGAGAGGAGGCCCCGGGATCCAGGCTGGGTGGGCCCCAGACTCCCGGGCTCGGGGGACGCTCTTTCTACCCTAGGAGAAGGGCTGGGGAAACTGAGGCTGAGGAGGGAAGTTAGGGAAAGGAGGCGCTGGGACCCAGACTGGGGGTGCCCCAGACTGCCCGGCTGGCGGGGCGCTCTTTCCACCCTGGGTGCTGGGTTGGAGAAACTGAGCCTGAGGCGGGAGGGAGGGAAGGGAGGCGCTGAGACCCCGGCTAGGTGGACCCCAGGCTCCCGGGGTTTAGTGAGGGGAATCTTCCCACCCCAGAAGCAGGGCTGGGGAAACAGGCTAAGGAGGGAGGAAGGGAGGGGAGGCGCTGGGACCCAGGCTGGGTAGGTCCCAGATTTCCGGGATTTGCGGGGGGGCGCTCTTTCTGCCCTCTGACTCCTGGCGGGAAAACAATAACGATGTTCACTTATCTAATAATCATGCCTGTAAGTATAATCGTGGCCGTGCATGATGGCTAACGCCTGTAATCCCAACACTTTGGAAGGCCAAGGCAGGAGGATTTTTTGAGCCCAGGAGTTGGAGACCAGCCTGGGCAACATAATGAGACCCCATGTCCACAAAAAATACAAAAATTAACCAGGCATGGTGGTGTGTGTCTGTAATCCCGGCTACTCAGGAGGCCGAGGGAGGAGGATCGCTTGAGCCTGGGAGGTCAAGGCTGCAGTGAGCTGTGATTGTGCCACTGCAATCCAGCCTGGGTGACAGAGCAAGACCCTGTCTCAAAAAGTGTAATTGCTAAGATGTCATTGAGCCTGGCTCTGCAGTTCACACATGCGGAAGAAATGATTGCTTTCCTCCATTTTGCAGATGAGTAAACTGAGGCACAGAGGTGTTCAGGTGCTTGCTCGGGGTGACTCACAGGGGTCTCTGGCGCCTGCATTGTCCGTGCTCCCAGTCTAGAGCATGGGAGGCAGAGGAACCTGGCTAGGCACTGGGGTGCCAGGAGATGTGCCCCGGGTCCAGGCGGTGGGACCTGAGTGAGCCAGTTTGGGAGTCTAGACTTGCCGGGGCACCTCCACCAAGAGGAAGAGGTGGGGATGTCTTGGTTAATCTATGGTCTCAAATCTCTCCCCACTGGTCTCTCTCCCAGCACCGCTGCAGCATTTTTAGGGAATTCTCCAGCCCACACACCCCTCTGGAGGAGCTCACCCCTTTCTCACCAGCATGCCGCTACACCGGCAGGTCCTTTCTCCTGGACAGCCCTTCTTTCCCTGGTCAGCAAATGCCCCAGGGAGAATTTGAGGTTGAATCATACAAGGCTGTGACTCTGCCTCAGGGCCTTTGCATGTGCTGTTCTCATTCCCATCTGTGGGTTGCTGGCATTTTGTTCTCTATTTTTATTTATTTATTTATTTATTTATTTATTTATTTGAGATGGAGTTTCGCTCTTGTTGCCCAGGCTGGAGTGCAATGGTGCCATCTCGACTCACTGCAACCTCTGCCTCCCAGGTTCAAGTGATTCTCCTGCCTCAGCCTCCTGAGTAGCTGGCATTACAGGCACCCACCATCATACCCGGCTAATTTTTTGTATTTTTAGTAGAGATGGGGTTTTACCATGTTGGCCAGGCTGGTCTGGAACTCCTCACCTCAGGTGATCCACCCGCCTCGGCTTCCCAAAGTGCTGGGATTACAGACATGAGCCACCGCACCCACCCCGAGTCACCATGCACCCCCGAGACACGGTTTCTTGCCTTGCTGCCCAGTGAATCCATGTCAGACCTTGAACCCACAGGAAGGAGGGCTGGATTGTAGGGGAACCCCCAAAGCCTGCCATTCAGAACCAGGATAGCATCCTGCTAGTCAGGCTGCAGTAGGGTTGCCCACAGCCTGGCATGTCACATGTGCACGCAGCCCACAGCCTGGCATGTCACATGTGCACGCAGCCCACGTGCCTGCCTGCAGTGGTCCAGCAACTTTGGCCAGGTAGAGCTCCGCCCATCACTCCCCGCTGTGCCCTACCCAGTGTCCCCGCCTCGCCTCTCAGGCTGCTGGGAGCTAGGCTGGGCAGGAAACATGCAGATAAGCAAAGATTTGCACATTTCTCAGCCTAGTTCCAGTCCAGCCCCCTTTATATCCGGTCTCCCAGCTTCCTTTCTCATCCTCCCGCCAGCTTGTTCCTGCATCAGTGGCCAGGAAGAGCCTGCGAACACCTGCATCACATCAGGTCCTTCCTCTGTTCAGAACCTTCCATGGCTCCCACCTCACTCAGGGTAAAAGCCAAAGTCCTCCCACAACTTGGCTTTGTGGGGGCAGTGCCTCATTGTAATCCCAGCACTTTGGGAGGCCGAGGTGGGTGGATCACTTGAGGTCAGGAGTTCGAGACCAGCCTGGCCAACATGGTGAAACTCCGTCTCTACTAAAAATACAAAAAATAGCTGGGCGTAGTGGTGGGAGCCTGTAATTCCAGCTACTGGGGAGGCTGAGGCATGAGGATCGTTTGAACCCAGGAGGTGGAGGTTGCAGTGAGCTGAGATTGTGCCACTGCACTCCAGCCTGGGTGAAAGAGTGAGACTCTGTCTCAGAACAACAACAACAACAAAAACAACCAACAGACAAAACCAAAGTCCTCCCACAACCCACAAGCCCCAGCATGATCAGCCCTGTCACCTCCCTGGCTTGCCTCCTCCTTTTCTTTCCCTCATTCACTCCACTCCAGCCGCACCTGCCTCCTGGATGCTCCTCTAAACACCAGGACACAGCTCCACCCAAGGACCTTTGCATGTCCTGTTCCCTTTCCCATATATGGGTGCTGCCATTAGCCTCCTTTTACAGATAAAGAACACCCAGAGAGGGGATCTGAGGAACACCCGGAGGGGAGACTCGCCCTAACGTAGCCTAGTGAATCAGTATCAGACCCAAGATTTGGATCCAGGGAGCCTGACCCCAAAGCAGTTGTCTCTAAAGTCTCACTGGGTCTCCATCGGACCTGGCTGTGTGGCCCAGGATAAACTGCTCAACTTCTCTGAGCCCCCGTTTCCTTGTTTGCTCCCTGAGAAGTTCATGATCAGTCACAGCTGGAGACCCAGACATCAGGAGGTAGGTTGAGCTCTGGAGCAGCAAACTTCAGGGCCTTGACGGGGCCCATTCGCTGTTGAAGCCCAAGGAGGCTTTGAGCTCAGTGACTCCACGTCCTGCCTTGGTGGAAACGCTGCTTCAGAGATCGCTCCGATCAAAGGCCCTACCCCAGACGCCTCAAGCCCAGTACCCGCCCCAGTGCCTGCCAGACCTGACTGGTGAAGCTATTTCTCTCCAGGGCACCGCCAGCCCTGACTCAGCTGGGTGTGGCTGGGGTGCCCCTGACAGCTAATCAAACAGAGGCTGAGCGTGGTGGCGGGGACTTTGGCCTCCTCTGCTCTGCTGCGTGGAGAACACGTTGTGGATGTGAGGCTGGAGCTGGTGGACCAGGGAGGAGGGGCTGTACTGGTCCAGGTCGAGGATGATAGGCCTGGATGGGTGAGGATACAGGGGAGGTGAGAAGTCGGTGGGCTGTGGGCAGATAGACTCACTGGTGGATGGACAGTGAGTCCATGTGCCCGTTACGGTAAGAGAGGAGCCGAAAACCATCTCCTTCACCCACGCTGCTGCCTAATGCTGCTCCTTCCACCTGGAATGCTGTTCCACCCACTCCTTGTCTGCCTGCACCCTTCTTTATCCCTTAAATGTCAGCTTGAGGCCAGGCACGGTGGCTCACGCCTGCAATCCCAGCACTTTGGGAGGCCGAGGCGGGCGGATCATGAGATCAGGAGATCGAGACCATCCTGGCTAACACGGTGAAACCCCGTCTGTACTAAAACTACAAAAAAAATTAGCCAGGCGTGGTGGTGGGTGCCTGTAGTCCCAGCTACTCGGGAGGCTGAGGCAGGAGAATGGCGTGAACCTGGGAGGCGGAGCTTGCAGTGAGCCGAGATCGTGCCACTGCACTCCAGCCTGGGCGACAGAGCAAGACTCCATCTCAAAACAAACAAACAAACAAAATCTCAGCTTGGACATCCCTGCCTTTGCCCACTGCCTCCGCCATGGCGGCCCCAGTCATGTCCCAGTTGCTGAGTTACGTGTTTCTGTGGGGTTCCCAGCACCTGACATTTAGTAGGAGCTCCAAAAATATCAACTTTTTGGTTTTGCTCTTTTTTTTTTTTTTTTTTTTTGAGACAGGGTCTCTCTCTGTCATCCAGGCTGGAGGGCAGTAGCTCCAACACAGCTCACTGCAGTCTCCTCCTCCCAGGCTCAAGCAGCCCTCCTACCTCAGTTCCCAGAGTAGCTGGGACTATAGGCATGTGCCACCACGGCCAGCTGATTTTTTTGATTTTTCTTTGTAGAGACAGCAGTCTCGCTATGCTGCCCAGGTTGATCTCAAACTCCTGGCCTCAAGCGATGCTGCCAGCTTGGCCTTCCACAGTGCTGGAATTACTGATGCGCCTTCTTCTGTTTTCCTGATCCGCTGCTGAGAGCTTGTCCCAGACCTCGCTACTGGAATCACTGTAGCATCATCATGTGCTTCTGTATCTTTCTGTGCTGGGTGCAGCTGCCTCCAGACCTTTGCACAGGCCATCCCCTCTGCCCAGGCTGATGGTTTCCCCTACTCCTTACCTGAACAAACTTTTTTTTTGAGACGGAGTTTTGCTCCTGTTGCTCAGGCTGGAGTATAACAGTGCAATCTCGGCTTACCGCAACCTCCGCCTCCCAGGTTCAAGCAATTCTCCTGCCTCAGCCTCCCAAGTAGCTGGGATTACAGGCATGCGCCATCATGCCCGGCTAATTTTGTACTTTAGTACAGATGGGGTTTCTCCATGTTGGTCAGGC